TTATCTGGCATACATGTAGTTGGGGTTTTAAGGTATGCTCCTCATTTGGTCCAAGATTTATTTGTTTATCCCCCATTCTCAAATATTTATCCTATTACAACATCAGAACTGACACTTTATGTCGAATCAGTGGGTGGAGGGAACTGATTAGCTCTGAGTAAAGACATGCTAACTTTATGTCTAGCCCAATCTCCTTCTGAGCCAGGCTATTTTTGGTATTCAAGTACTTGGCCAATTGTGTAGCATGAAGGCTCCATATTCCCAAAGTAATTCACTAACAGAAAACCAAGATATATCTTCACACAAAATAATGTACCACCAAGGATTACAAACTCAATCTCCTTAGTTTTTTTTTTTTTTTTTTTTTTTTTTTTTTTTTAAATATTACTTAATTTCACTGACTTCATGTGAAGGTTTGTTCCTCTTCAGGTCACAGAGAAATAACCTAACTCATAAGCAGCGTCACTCTGTAGTACCTCGGAAACAACCAAGATCTGTAATATGACCGTCATTACAAAGCTATTGAATCATGATCCCAATTATTTTCCTACTAGAGGCCCAGTGCTCAAAATTCGTTCATGGGGGGAGTCCCTCAGCCCAGCCTGCACTCTCTCCAATCTGGGACCCCTCAAGGAATGTCTGACTGCCCTCTCACAATCTAGGACTGCTGGCTCCCAAGTGCTCGCCTGCCTGCCTGCCTGCCTGCCTGCCTGCCTGATCACCCCCTAACCACTTCCCTGAAAACCTGATTGACGCCTAACTGCCTTCCCCTGCTAGCCTGATTGACCCCAACTTCTCTCCCCTGCCAGAATTGGTCGCCCCTAACTGCCCTCCCCTGCAGGCCTGATCACCCCCAACTGTCCTCCCTTTCAAGCCTGGTCCCTTCCAACTGTCCTCCCCTTCAGGCCTGATTACCCACAACTGCCCTCCCCTGCCAGCCATCTTGTAGCAGCCATCTTTGACCACATAGGGGCGGCCTTCTTATGTGTTGGAGTGATGGTCAATTTGCATAACACCTCTTTATTATATAGGATTATATAATTTTGATGTGTTTTAATGTATTTATCCTAATAAAAGAGAACTAAGACCATCAGAAAATACAGATATTTACATTACAATTCATAACAGTAGCAAAATTACAGTTATGAAGTAGCAACGGAAATAATTTTATGGTTTGGGGTCACCATAATAGGAGAAACTGTATTAAAGGGTCTCAGTATTAGAAAGGTTGAGAACCACTGGGTTAGGGGGTGATCAGGCAGGCAGGCAGAAGCAGTTAGGGACAATCAGGCAGGCAGGCAGGCAAACAGTTGGGAGCCAGCAGTCCTGGACTATGAGAGAGCAATCAGACATCCCTCAAGGAGTCCCAGATTGGAGAGAGTGCAGGCTGGCTGAGAGACACCCTACCCCCCACCCTGTGCACAAATTTCATGCACTGGGCCTCTATAATAAAAAGCATAATATGCTAATTAGACTGGACATCCCAAAGGACATCCTTCCTTCCAGACATAGCCTCAGTGGGTTGGGGTCAAGGCATGGGTGGCAGAGGGCCTCAACCCCCTGCCACAGCAGTGAGGGGCAGAGCTGGGGCCAAGGCCCTTGCACAAATTTTGTGCATTGGGCCTCTAGTTTAATATATTAGAAAACTCTCCATAAGATTTAGTCAATAGATATTATTCATGGGAACATTTTATAAATCTTGAAAGATTTTCCCAAAGTGTTCATCTGGTTGTCTAAAATGCAAAGCCTAATCTTGAATAACTACATGCCTTTCAAGGGAATATGGGAAGCAGACTTTGAAGGCATCCTTAGAAACAATAAGGTAAATATGCCAACTGGAACTAATTGATTAAATTCACTACTAACACTGCTTTCAAATGTATACTATCTGGGAACTGAATATTACTCATCCTTTTTTAGATGTGCTATTCTTCAGCCTGGCCAACATTGCCCTAAAATGTCAACTAGGAACGTAGAAATGGAAATGAAAGAGAAACAATGTATGTAGTTTACTTTAGGTAATCTACCCTGGACTTTTTATTAGAACTCATTTGATAATTTCTTTTGTGAAGGAAAGAAATATGGATGTCAAAGGCTCCTTTAAATTATCTTTTGGAGAAATAAATGACTGTGGCCAATACTGATGAGGCTTTCCTTATAACAGCACCATGAGCTGTGAAATATGAGAATGCATTCAACATCAGCCAATAAAACATCTCATGCCTCCTTCCCAAATATTACCAAGCTCAAATTTATTTTATATTCCCAATTAATAAGGGCAGGAAACAAACATATTTTAAGCACACCCTAAGAAAAGAAAGTTCTACAATGAACTATCACCACATGCAAAAAGAGTTCTGTGTGACAAAGCTATTTCCATGTCCCCAGGGGGTGACCCAGAAAAAAAGAGTGCTTTGACCTGGTTATAACAAATTCTCTCTCTCTTGGTAACCTACCCTGGTCTTTAACAAATTATCACTCTCAAAGGTTTTCCTTCTATCAAATCTAAATCCGCACTGTTAGAAGTTCAAGTTCATTTCCTTCTTTTGAGGTGCCACTTACTGAAAATTGGTCAGGAAGGAAAAATTAATGTCAAAAGAAATGACAACACGAAACTAAGTTTATTATGAGATTTTTAAAAATAGCTCTAGCATGAAACTTAAAACAGCGAGTTATATCTGGGTAAGAGATTTCTACTTCGTATCTGAAGGCAAGCCAATCTCAATTTAAAACTGAAACAGAGCATTCTCACTATTTGGAGCCCCTGGAAACGAAGAAAATATTTACTAGATCTGAGGTATTTCCACTTTTCTTCCATAATAGTTCAATTCTACTGGCCTGAAAAACTTACAAAGTAAGCTGACATTATATAAATTGTAAGCTGATCAGCCGATTTATCTGAATCATGAATCATGCCCAATTCTCACTGTATTTGCTTTGCATAAACTTTATTGTGACCTTCTCAATGACCTAGTCCCCTACAATATAGCAGGTCATAGTTGCTCCCATTAAAACTTAAAACCAAAGACTCAAAACTCTCGAAGGCAAGAGAAAGGGTTGAAGAGGTTCATTATTTGTTCTCCCAACATCTTTATAAGCCTTTCTTCATGCAATCCTATTACTCACTTTAAACTCTGTTTCCAATTTCTCTCCACTTCTGGTTTACCCATCCATTACCTCATGATGATGTATATGTGGAAGATAATATTTTTTTTATTCTTGATCTCTCCCCATCTCTTTTCTCCTAAGACAACAGGCGTCTAGTCAGTTTCACTTAATAGAACATAGTTGTGGAATGGCAAAAATGCAGTCACTGTGCTAGTACACATCCTACACTCCTTAAGGCATAGCTTTGTGGATTATCCTTTACTCTGTGGGATGCAAATCAGCATCCCACAGAGTAAAGACTGATCAAGATGTGCAAAAGGACCATGGGAGAATAATCACCTCCAGTACCGTTTGGTCGCTTTTGGAATGTAAGTACCTTTCTGCACATAACGCATTCATGTGTTTCAGTTTCAATACTTTCATAGAAATTGTATCATGTTTTACCCAGGTTAAAAAGATGTATGTATGGATAGAATTCATCCTCACATGGAAGCACCTCTGCATTCTTTTGTCAGAAGGGTTACCAGTGTTGAAGTTCCTGGGTTCCTAGCCACTTAGTATTTTCTATTTCTGGGCCCAAGTCCCTATGCTCAGAAGTACAAACACATTTATTTACTAAAGAAATACATTTGAAAGCTGCTCAAAAAAAAAAAAAAAAAAAAAAAAAAAGCTGCTCAGATGTTCCCCAAATAGAAGCAGGAAAAAAATATCCAAGACATAATTGAAAATTAAAAATCCTAATTCATTACAAAGATACACTCATCAATTTCTTAACATTAAAGAAAAAAACCTTACCAGTCTTAAAGAAGGTAGAAGGGCCTTAGAGCTAATTACTGTTCTGAAAGCCACTATTTAAACAATAACATTGCAGTATATAAACAAATAGCTCATGCAGTCTTGATACACAAAGGCATCACACATTATAAGCAATACTTAATTTTATTGAGACCACTCCCTCTGAAAATAAATATGGATATTCTATATTTATTTTATACTGTCTTTATCTATAATGACGTGTTTTAGAAATAAAGTCTTGATTTTCATATCAAATTTTCAAAACCTTAGTTGTATAAACCTTAAAAGCATTTTATTAGGTCTGATGGTGTGCCAGTGTAGGGCATGGAAAGGGATTCAATAATGAATTCCAGAGACAGTGAGCTTTCATCCACACATGCGAGTCAATGCTGAAGCTGGTGCCCTACTGCAGAGTGCAATTGAGTGTTTTCCCCACAGGCTGTAACTGATTATTGACTCCCCCCATTAACATGTAGGGTCCATAGTGAAGGTTCAAACAGAAGGCTGAGGGACTCCTGTCCCCAGGCCAGTGCTGAAAGGCAGCCTATCACTTTGTGTAACCACAATCCATGTGTGATAAACCTGACCTACATTTCTCTCTTTCTTTCTCACAAGAGCTTGTCACTGTTTTAAGAAGCTATTTTCTAAAATGCATCAAATAAATGACTTTTGAAACTGCCTGGGAAATGTTCATTCCTAAAATATTATTTATAGCAATCTTATAAAGAATAGTTTATTCTTCCTAATAGAAGAATGCTTTAATGTTACTCCATAGGGTATCTTCCTTTAGACTCTCCTTTATACAGTACATAGTCTAAAAGTATTATAATTTAATAAAATAAACATATAAAACATATTAAGTAGGAAAGTATAATTAAACATTTCTCATCAGTTATAAAAAGTAGCTTCCACAGATTCATAAGCCACGTCTTAGTTGTTTGCTAACTTCTCGGCGGAGTGACAATCATCACTACTAAGAATGGGGCATAATTACAAACTCAAGGGGCGGTAAAGAAGGAGAATGCTCCCCAGGCAGGGCTACAGATGGTGCTTAGAAAGGTGCCAGTGTGCTGTGGCTCCTCCCCACAAGTACCTACCATGCCGCTGCAGGTCATAGTCTTTCTTTGTCTCTTCATTCCCTAGAATTTTCCATGCCTGATCAATTTCGATGAACTTCTGTATACATTCCTCCACCGTTCCTGGAGGCACATCTGTACTTTGTTTGTCTGGATGATACTGCCAATCAAAAATAAGGAGGATGGTAAACAGAGAGGGTTAAGTTTTAAAAAATTGTAAATATGAGCTTTCCTGGAGAGAGAAGATAATGAAAAGACAAAACTAGAATACCAAGGCAACAAGTCAACAGTGCTGGGCCCGGGAGACGGCTTGCCAGGGTAATTAGACCACTGGAGTAGCTATAAATCCGCTAGTGACATGATCTGTCACAACGTGCAAAGACAGCATTTTCTGGATAATTTGCTGATGGGTGGAATCACTGGTCTCATGGACAATCTAGCTAGAGAGGATGACTAACAAAAAAAGAATTAGGTACATGCAGACAAGCAGAGCATGACAGGAAGAACACAAACGATGCAGAGAAGGAAGCTTCCTTATATAATGTGCATGGCTATAGATACCACCACAAATGGAGTACTCGCTTTTTCTCATGAAGTTACATTATACAACTATCCTGTAAAATAAAACACTTTTCATCATCTAGCTCAGTTCTGAATATTTTAATTACAAATCTTTGCACAAAACTTTTTAATTGAAAAATGGTTATCCAAAGGCAGATTTACAAGAAAGAATTTTAAAGAACTCAATGAAACATTTGAATATAAATTAACTCATTAGTAAATCTTTCTTACACGTGTTTGCTAGAAAACTTTTAAGAGTATTTTCAGTATGCAGCAAATTCTTTAAACTATTTGGTCAAAAATAAAGTTTTATGTCAATTCAATTATCAACTGAAAATGTAAATGAAGCCTACTGGATACCTCACTTATATTTTCTCTATTATATTTTCCCTCTTTTCTATGTTTTTTTGTGGTTAACCCTTCTCTTGTTAACTATCAGGTCTTCTAAAAGAATAAATATCTCATTTGCTTTTCAGCAGTTTCCCAACAAACAAGGAAAGATTACCTAAATTTACAGACATTTCACCTAATATAGGAATACCAGTAGCAGATATTGAGATATGTAACTTTTCACTCTTAAGTAAAGAAGTATTCATCTAGAATTTTCAACCAGCAATTACCAGTACTCTAAATGTTTTATTAAATATACCACAGAACAAATTTTAATTTAAAAATTATTTTAGAAATTCCTTTGAACTAGCAGAAGTTTTTCCCTTTACCTAGTTCTTAACCTTTTTTTAAAAATGTTTTTATAATAAAACAGGAAAATTGATATTTTCACATTTCATGATGCTAATGTGATCTAGTTCACTTATTCATCAATTAGTGAGGCAATCATTTGAATATTTTATTGTCTGCTTTACAGACATTGAAAGAACATGAAAAACTTACAAGTACCATATCATTTATTATCTAAGTTGCTAAAGCCAAGACCACTCAGTGAGTTGTGGCAAGTTACATGAAGTTAAATGACTTCAATTCTCAATACAGAAATCTGAAAGTATGTAAGTTTTTAATCATAATGCTGACTATGGGTTTTGACAGTGAATTTGTCTTCATGCTGAACTTGTTCACACTACTGATGTCCTCAACTAGGAGAGCAAAAGTAGCTGTGATATTTGGCTGCACAGAAGAACTAATAAACATCATGCATGCTGGAAAAAAAGATTACAGGACAAACAGAATTAGGCTTCCATTTTCCAGTTGGCAAATTATTTCTTTTTCTAAGCCAAATCTATCTGTTAACAACATTTAAATATTTAAGCTAATATAAAGACTAAAGAAAAAGGAAACTACAGCTTTGTTTAATTTTTTTTGCGTTCATAATTTATCAAATGATACTCATAAAAATTATTCCCATTCTGAAGTTTAGGCAATCCCAAAGCCAAAATAGAGTTGGCTACATTAAAGTTCCCTATCTAACCCATTTCTCTAACATTGTGTGAAGATTTGTGTAATATACTTGGTATTATTGAATATTATTATATGCAACATACTCAAATATGGCACTATGTATACGTTAAGATACATTTATATGTGAAAACTCAATCTCAATATGTCAGAAACATTAAGTAAGATCACAGCGGAATCATTCTAAACTAGTAGCTATAAAGGAGAAGTACAGATTAAAAGACAAGTAATTTCTAATAGCTATCATAGAAGGTACTAGAAGCCTGGTGCATGAAAATTCATGCACTGGATAATCATGCGCTGACTACCTTTGTGACAGTATGAGGGTCAATTAGCATATTCCCTCTTTATTAGATTATTAGCTAGGATACTTGGTACAATAAAATAATTGGACCTGACATGCATCAACCTGACCAAGCAAGCCATACAAAAGCAAGGCTGCCCCAAACTAAATGCTATCATTAAATTTTATTGAGTCATAGTTAAGTTCCATGAGAGTCAAAAAACAATTCATTCGCCGAAACCGGTTTGGCTCAGTGGACAGAGCGTCGGTCTGCGGACTGAAGGGTCCCGGGTTTGATTCCGGTCAAGGGCATGTACATTGGTTGCGGACACCTCCCCAGTAGGGGGTGTGCAAGAGGCAGCTGATCAATGTTTCTCTCTCATCGATGTTTCTAGCTCTCTATCCCTCTCCCTTACTCCCTGTAAAAAATCAATAAAATACATTAAAAAAAAACAAAAACAAAAAACAATTCATTCAATCTCTTTCATCAATTTGGTATTTTCCTGACTACTATTTTAAATCTAGGCTTTTAAATCTTATCTGCTGTGCTATTAGAATGCAATACATTTTATTCTACAATACAGGCTTCAATTAAAAAATGGTAGTTATGGACGGGACCAGTTTGGCTCAGTGGATAGAACGTCGGCCTGCAGACTGAAAGGTCCCGGGTTCAATTCCGGTCAAGGGCATGTACCTTGGTTATGGGCACATCCCCAGTAGAGGGTGTGCAAGAGGTGACTGATCGATGATTCTCTCTCATCGATGTATCTAACTCTCTATCCCTCTCTCTTCCTCTCTGTGAAAAATTAATAAAATATATATATATTTTTAAATGGTAGTTATGGCAAGAAAATAAGTATATCATTTGGGGTGATAAAAGCCTCAGTCTGACCTGTACTGACAGCAAGTTCCAGAACAAAATGAAAGTCTTTAAAAAAACATATTCTGTGGTAGGCTGATAATGGCCTCCCAAAATATTAGCTTCTAATTCCTGATACCTGTAAATGTTAGCTTATTTAGAAAAAAAGTCTTTGCAAATATGATTAAATATCTTGAAATAGAAAAGTGTCCAGGTGAGATAAATACAAAGTGTTCTTATACAAAAGAGGCAGAGGGAGATTTGGCGCACAGAGGAGGAGGTGGTGTGAAGACTGTGCAGAGAGATGGGAAATACTGGCCTTAAAAACTGGAGTGATCAGGCCACAAGCCAAGGAACACTGGCAGCTACCAGAAGCTGGAAGAGACAAGAAATGGACTCTTCCCCTAGAGTTTCTACAGGAAGTGCAGCCAGGCCAACACCTGCCCAGTTATACTGACTTTAAACTATAGCCTCCAGAATTCTGAAAGAATAATTTTCTGTTGCTTTAACCCACTGAGTTTATGGTAATTTATTTTGGCAGTCACAATAAATTATACATAATCTAAAGATGTCTATGGTTTAAAACCGCTATACAGACACTACAACTTTTTAAGATGTTTCATTTATAAGGTCTATTAATAAAATGGTGTCATTATTATATACATACTTAATTTTTAAATCTGTAGTGGTTCTTTATTTAACATGAGAAACCAAATCCCTAAATACTGTTTCAAGATTTTCCAATCCCAAAGTGAATGCTAATTTCTTTCCTGCTATTTCCGTATCTGAGCTCTCCATAGGAGGCAGATTCAAGCACTCACTATTACTCTGAGAGATCCAAGTCACTTTCCTCTTGTCAATGTGTATTTTATTCTTTGCCTTTCTTTATCTTTAATCCCCACTAACCAAATCTTCCTATCATTGAGAGCTCAAAGCTATTGCTATTTCATCCATTCATAGAAAGATAAAATCTAAGGCATCCTGTGTTCTAGAAATAGCCACAAAAAGATAGCATGAACTTCCTTTATATTAAAATAATTCTGACAAAATCATACAAAAAACAGAATTCTGAGAAAACCACTGACCCAACAGAGAAAATACCGATGGTCTTAACAGAACAGGTATGTACTAAAATCAATGCTGTAAAGTTCATTTCTTTTAACTACACTAACTTCTATTTGTTTTCAGTACTAAGTTGAAATGAATTTTTCTAGAATTGGAAGAACTTAAGTCACCTGGAAGCTTTCATGTCTTTCTTACCTGCAAAACCAAGTATTGCTTTACTTACTAGTAGCTTGTCATTAAATCTTAAATCGAATAAAAAGTTATTAGATAATTACTCAATTAGAAAACAGATAACTACACATCTGTGATTATACTGTTTTGATTTATAAAATATGGACTTCAAATAGGAAGTAACAATCAACTATGAAAAGGACTCTGGGCAAATCTGATTAAGCAAAAATTCCCAAATTGTTATACTGAGGTTATTTCATACACCAATGCAGTACCTGAGTATATAGCATTTTGGTTTTTCTCTATGTATTAACAGATGAATTGAGTATTATTAATAGGATATTAGCTCTCTATCTCTAGCTACAAACTTTCATAAATTCTGGAGTCAAATTTCAAATACCTTCTTTTTTAAAAAACATTTTTATTTATTTCAGAGTGGAAGGGATCAGTAGAGAGAGATAGAAACATCAATGATGAGAGAGAATCATTGATTGGCTGCTCTTGTACGCCCCCTACTGGGGATGGAGCCCTCAACCTGAGTGTATGCGCTTGACCAGAATCGAACCCAGGACTCTATAGACTTCCAATAAGCCAAAACAGCTAGGGCTCAACATACCTTCCAAAAGCTATCTTATCAGTACTACAACTTCAACATGTCCAAACTCCAATTTATCAGCCAGACTCTAAAATTAGTTCTTCTGAGAGCGAGGAGAGAATCCAAGATGCTGCACAGCTAAACACCTAGCCGCAGCCGCACACAACAATTTGAATAAAATACAACTACAATATAAAATGAACATTACCCAGAACT